GGGGCCTGGCGCCGTACTTTTGCGCGCCATCCGACGGACAACCCGGCGGAGCTCGTCTACCGAAACCCCCAGTTCGGCGGACCATTTCACAGGCTGGTCCGCCTAAGGCTCCGGAGAGGACCACTTACCCCTCCCCTCAGGGAAGAGCGTTGACACGACTCTTTCCAGGAGCCGGGGGTCCAGACTCTCCGTCACTGGGGGCGTCCAAGGTCGCAACTTTTTCATTACGACCCTGTATGGACGCCCCCACGGATCGGAATCGAGAGTCTCGATGAGCTCCTTCCACGCTTTTGACTTTGCCGTGGAGATAGCGACGCGGAGGGCCTTGCGCGCTGCGCGGTACCCCTCCTGCGCCATCTCCGCTGCCCAGACAGCCTCGTCGTCGCCGGGTAGACGACGACGGGCGTGGGTACACCGGTGGTTGGCTTCGACGCACTCGCGTCGAAGCCGTGCAATTTCTTCCGTCCACCAGTATACCGATCTTCGGTTCGACGGTCCCCGGGAGCGCGGCATCGCGATGTCGCAGATGCTCTTCAGCGCTCCCTGGAACCACCGAAGCTCCACCCGGAGGTCACGCGGCCCGGCCGGTGGTTCGGGCCAGGCCGCGATCTGGGCAGCACCGGACAGGGATTGTGGGTCCAGCTGTCTGAGGACCCACCCCTTGGGCCGTGGCCTCCTTCTCGCCTGACGGTCCCGAAGGTGCGCAGGGAGCACATCGACCCTTATCGTGATGTACCTGTGATCACTGAGAGTCTCCGTGTCTACTCTGACGCACTACTCGGACACTCCGCGCGCGGCTAGAGGGGCCGATGCAAACGTGACGTCAACGATCGAGCCCCCACCTTGCCTGACGCACGTGTGTTGCGAGCCCACGTTTACGATTGTGAGCCCGCAGGCCGCCATTGTGTCCTCAAGAACCCTTTCCCTGCCGTAGGTCCTGGGGGAACCCCAAGTCTGAGACTTGGCGTTAAAGTCNCCCAGGATCAACATTTGGCGCGCCGAGTGTCTCCTAACGACTAACTCGAGCTCGCCCACGAATTGTTGGAACTCATGGAAGGGCCTCGATNGCAAGAAGTACACCCCGATAACGGCCAGTTCCCCCCACTGTACAGCAACGAAACNGTCGCCCCTCTCCAGCGGAGAGAAGACGACGGCCTCGTCGCGCGTGCCGTACCTGAAGTACGTGGCGACCAGGCCGTCTTCCCATCCTGCCCACGACGGGTGGTCGGGGACACTGTACGGCTCGGCCACCACCGCCAATACACCGTCCCACTCCGCGAGGTGCTGGATCATGAGATCCTGCGCACCTCGGGAGCGGTTTAAATTGCACTGGAGGAGGAGAGGGGCGCTCACTGTCTCGGCGAGACGAGTGGCACCTCCACCTCCATCCCCTCTTCTAGGGCACTGCTCTGAGAGAGCTGGGTGGCCCCCTCCTGTGTTGCCGGCGCAGGTGTTGAGGCGCCGGCAACTACTACGCTTGTTTCCTGGGAGGCGGGTTTAGCCCCGCCGCCCCTGACAGCTCTCTGCACCCTTTTGGCTCCCCCTTTGGAGATCGGGGCGCAGGACTTGCCGCCGAGTCGGTGGGCCGCGGGCCGGCCGAGGTTGGCGCACAGCGGGCACCGAGAGGCCGCGTCGCAGGTTGCGACGCCGTGGCCCCTTTTCCCACATCGGTAGCACCGGCCCCTTCTGTCCTCCTCCGGCGCGGTATNCGTGCACGTCGCTACGACGTGCCCGCGCCGGAGGCAGCGGTGGCACTGCAGGGGCCGCCGCTCCAACACCTCGACCGGTGCCCTGACCCAACCCACCTTGACGGATCCGGCGTCCGAGATCGTTCGCCCCACGGCGATCGGACACCGGATCCACGCCGTGGCCAGTCCACTGGGAGAAGCGTGAGCTCGGCCGACCTTCACCTCGGTCGCCCGGCATCCCTCAATAGCCACCACGGCCTTCTCTATTTCTTCGGGGGTGATAGAGTCATCGAGACCCGCAAGCGCAGCTCGCACGTTTTTATGGGTCTTGTGACTCGCACCCCCAGTTCTGGGGCCAAGGCGACCATTGCCTTGTAGAGGCGGTCCGCCTTGGCCTCACTGCTCTCGCCGGGGATCTCCATGAGGAGGGCCCCGGTTACAGCCCTTTTGGGGCGGACCTCGGAAATCCCAAAGTCCGCCAGTTTAATAGCTTTCCGCATCTGCGCCAACGCCGCCGCCACGTCCGTGTTTTGCGTCTCGGCGGTTATGGCGATGGCCGCAAAGCGGGGGCCTTCCCTACCTTGGGGCGGGGGGCGCGCTGCCCGGGCTTCACGGCCCCCAGGCCTGCGGGTCTCCCCCCCCCGCTCCTTCAGAGGAGGAGGACGCAACTTGCGCCCCTCTTCTTTTCTCTTTGCGGCCGACTACCCGAGACCAGAGCGTCTCGGGCTCGGCCGCCGAGGCCTCCGGCGCGATTTGGCCAGGTTGGGCCAGGTTCACCCTGCGAGCGGCCTTTGGCGGCGCTGCCGGTTGGGCCCAAGTCCCTTCACTGGCACCCTTGCCCTTCTTCTTTTTACTCCTGTTCTTCTTTCTTCCCTTTACAGGGGGGAAGGAAGCAGGGGCCACTTCCGTGGAGGGGCCGGCAGAGGAGCCGCCCCTCGCGTTTGCGCCTTTAGGCGCCTTGGCCTTGGCCGGAGGAGGCTGCGGCCGAGCGGCCGCCTCGCTCCCTCCCACCTCCACGGGCGGCCGGGAGAACCCCATGGATACCCGCTCCCAGAAAATACTCATCTGGGAGCGCATTGCGTCCATGATCCGGGTCTCCATTTCCCTGAGAGACTTTGGCCCCGACGCCCTTCCGAGGAGCCGGAAGGTCGGCTCTCCGGGCGCCACCGGACACTCCCCCCGGCCCGGCACTCTGCTCAGTTTCCACCTTCAGAGGAGAGAAGGAAGTCGGGGGCGGTGATGTCTGTAGTGAACCCTCCGGCTTCAGTGGCACGGGGGACCCGAGGGGCGGGTGCCAACCCCCGAGGGAGGAGCGGACGGCTGGCCGCTTTTTCCGGCCTTTAGCCTCCTTGAGCCGCTCCATCCTGAGGGACGTAAGCTCGCGCCTGAGGTCCCTCAATTGCTTGTGCAAGGCGTCCGCCTCGCCCTCTCTGCGGCCGTTTTCTCAAAGGACGTCGTACAGCTTGGCTTGGACGGCGCCACTCTCCCTCTGCAGAGAGGCAACGGTGTCGGTGAGCCGGTCGACTTCCGCACCCAACTTTGCGTTGAGCGCCTCGACACGCTGGGTCTCCCTCGAGGAGCCCAGCCGACTCGCGACGATGGCGACGGCCTCTTCTAGACCAGTCGCCGCCTCCTTAAACTGGCGGACAAATGTACCCTTCAGGTTTTTAGATTTGCTTGCCAGCTTGCGCACTGCCTCCGCCATTTTGTTGGCCTGCCCGACCAGCTGGGACGTAGTCATGTCCCCGCTTACGGACAGGCGCGGTGGCAGAGTCTTCGTGCCTGTGCCCTCCGCCCAGTCAAGGGGGGGCTGTCCGGAGCCGACCGAGCAAGTCGATACACGCAGCGTATCGATTTCGTCGGCCGGCTCCTTTTCTACGCGGGGCTCCATCTCCCGCTGGAGCTGTTCTGCGTATTTGCGCTTGGCCTCCGCCAAGCCTACGTATTCCCCCGTTGTTGGGGGTCTACATCTTCCTCGCCTCCGGACTCCCACGCTGTTAGATCTTTTCGGCGATGTAAGAGGCTGGGAAGCCGGCGTGGTGCGTTCTCTTTCGCGCGAATCGTGCGATGGAGCTCCGTCCCGGGATTCGGCGACGAACTCAGCCTCCGAGTCGGAGGTGTCGTCGCGGGGGAGAGGCGTGAGTTAGGAGAGAGCGAGAAGATGACGTTTCTCACTCTCCACGTCCTCGTCTTCCTTCTCCGGGCCGGAAACCGGGAGTCGTCGACTCCTGACGCGCCTCTGCTTCTTTGAGTCCATGGGGCCCAGGCATGGGGGGACGCGCTCCTCACGAAACGGTGCATCAGCACCAGGGCTCGTCGCTGTCGCAATTTCATGCGCCGCCCCAGCGGGGCAGGCGACGCAAAGCCCGTCATTGGATGACGACGAACGGGTGGCCGGGACGGTACCACCCGAACGCCGGTCTCTGAGGGTCCGAATCCCCTGAGACGGTAAACTTCTTTCCATAATATTGTCCATCATTTGTGACATTACGGTGGTTTAATTTCGGTGTGTTCTTCACCTAGGCCGGTTGTCTTGACTTGGCTGACAAGCCCGGCCTGTCCGGGTTTTATTTTGGGGTTGTCCTTCCCCTAGGTGCACTCTTAGTCTGGCCGCTCACTGAGGACCTGTCCGGCAAGGGAGACCCTACCAGGAACCGAAGTTCCCGCCGGCATAGCCCCTCAGATCATCACGACACTTAAGCTCGGAAACCACGACAAGGTGGTGCACTTCTCCCAAGATAAAATTGGGCTTAAAAGTCCTCCTTTTGCCCCCCGGCGAGCCCCACCCGGGGCCACCAGTTATAAGAGCGTCCAGATTTCTTGCCTCCTCGAGCCTCCTTGCGATCTACCTCGCCCGCCGGAAAGGAAGCACCCCCATACCAATCAGGTCCCGATTGCACTGTTATCAGGACCCCTGGCACCTTAACCTACCCCCGCGAGCCACATGCGATTGTTTTATAGCAGGGTCATGTGGAACCCCCGCTAGGCGAAAGCCTGTGGTAGCGACAGCCCCTTTCCCAGCCGACAGACCCGAGAGAGGCACCCCGGCCGCGCGAACGAGCAGCGCAGCGCAGCGCAGCCTTCGACTCCAGCGGGTCCTAGCCGCACCGGACCGCACCGCCCGAACCACAGCCGGGGAAACCCCTTACACGGGGCAACTCCCCACACCCGGCGGGGCATGGGAGGAGCGCCCGACCCCAGCAAGAGCAGCCAGTCCGCAGAGGGCTACCTCGGCTTAGGGCCAGACTGAAAGCCGACTGATAGGTACTGCCATCGGTCAAGCAGCGCCATTTTCTTCGGAGATGCTTTGCCATGCTGCGGAAGCACCCCCGACCCGATCGTACTCCGAATATGTATACAGGGTGAGCCGGATCCCTGTGTCGTGGCCAAGACGGCTTGATCTCTACCCGTGTCCCTGTTTTTGTGTTTTTATACAAGGAGAAGGCAGACCCTTGTTGGTCGGTGTGTGGCACCACGCGCCCGAAGGCTCGACTTCCGTGCCGATCCACCGCCGCTACCCGTGTCCCTGCTTCCGAGTTTTTAACCTGGGGGGAAGCAGACCCCTGGTGGCAGGTGTGTGGCATCACGCGCCCGAAGGCCCGATTAGCGTGCCGATCCACCTCCTCCCTGCCCGTGTCCCTGCATCCGTGTTTTTATACGAGGGGGAATGCAGACCCTTGTTGGTGGAGCACCAGTCACCGAGCGTTACGGCCTCTCCTGGCCGGCATCGGCAACCGGACGCCCCCCGCCTCCCGGAAGTGCAAGAGAAACTCCGCTGCTCAAGTTCAGACCGAGAACCGGCCAACCGGTAGCCATGTTCTCCTTGCACGCGAGTGTACCTACGCGCGAGACTTATAAACTAAAAGCTAAACGAGCTAAGATCCCACCAATCTATGTCCCCCCTTTCGCGCGCGCCAGCCTTCGCCTTTTTATACAAGAGAAAGGCTCGACTTCTGTTGGTGAGATGTGTGGCATTACGCGCCCGAGGGCCCGATTTGCGTGCCGATCCATCTCCCCCTACAAGTGTCCCTGCCTCCGTGTTTTTATACGAGGGGAAAGGCAGACCCCTGTTGGTGAGATAGCATAGACATCGGGACTTGTCCGTCAGCCATGCATCCCCCGCCTACCCAATCCTATCCGCGATAACGCCCGTTGGAATGCCGGTCNTTCCGCGTGCACGCACGCATTGGCCCGGGACATTCCGCCCTCGGGGATCGGTATCCTTGGGTATCGCGCCCTGCGCAGACGACCGGTATCACCCGCGCACGCCCTACCTATCCGGGGCCTCTCATAGAGACGCTAGAGCTAAGGGAAAAAAGGGAACTACCCCGTTACAACCCACGCAGGCCCACCCACTTGCGATCGCGAGAGAGGTGCCGGTCCATCCGCATGCGCGCGCCGTGGCGCGCGGATGCATTGGCCCGGAAGAACACCCCCGTCCACAGGGATCGGTATCCNAGGGTATCCGCGCCCCGGTGTGCGCGGGGACAAGTCCCCCGCACACCTACACACACACCTACCCGGCGCCTCACATTGCAGAGGCGAGCTAAGTGACACGCACACACACACTCTCATGCATGCACCTGTCCACCCAACGCCGGACCC